GTGGTGTCCTACAGGGCGCAGTGTTGGGACCGCGTTTATTACTAGTATTATTCAAAGACCTGGCAAGAGTTATCTCTTCAAAGCTCCTGCTTTTCGCCGATGATGTCAAGATATGGCAGGCAATTAGTAACCATGAAGATCACGATCTACTGCAACACATGACCTAGATTGCATGTATGCATGTTCAGTGAGGAACCTGCTTCAGTTGAACATAGCTAAGTGCAAGGTGATCCATCTACGTCACCAACCGGTGAGCGCTTACAACCTTGGAGACCACACTTTGGAGAAGGCCTCTCAGGAGCGTGACCTGGATGTATGGTACAGGAAGATCTCGGATTTTCAAAACAAACAGAGAATGTGTCGAGAACCGGCAATTAACACTTTGGCCTTCTTCGCAGAGCCTTCGGTCGGTTTCAACTCTCAATCTTTCCCCAAATGCTTAACGCCTACGTGTGACCGCACGTGGAATATGCTATCCAGGTGTGGTAGCCGTGACAGAAACAGGGTCTCTTTGCTCTTGAGACTCCTCAACGAAAGGCAACCAAGGACGTCAGGGGCCTATTTTATCTGCCCTATCAGCTTAGACTGACATCTCTAAGAATGTACAGCAGTCGATTTTGGCTTTTTCGGGGGATCTCATAATGTTTTACCAGATTCTGAAGAACCCAAACCACATTTGCCGACCGCTGCTGGAATTAAACCACAACACTAACTTAAGAGGTCATTCTCTGAAACTGACAATTCTGTAAAGCCGGTTTGAACGCCGTAGCAATTTCTTTCCCTCCGCATGTGCCAGCCTTGGTACGCCCTCCCTAATCATGTCGTCTCTGCTCCCAATCTGGCGATATTTAAGGCACGAGTTGACGATGCGTTGGCCCATTTCCATTTCATTTTATGACTTGTTAGCCAGGGGCTACAAAACGCAAGCAAACGGTGTCATATCAATCTCCCAAGCAATGGATTTATGGATTTATAGTTTTAATCCGCGAACATCTCCGCTATTCTACATAAGTCTATGGTGAGTCCACTAAAACTCTTTTCACTTTATCATGCAATGCACTTTTCACAATAAGTTCCATCCCACGGAACTCGTAAAGCATTGTCTTTTTGTCCGTAATACACCATTGTTCTATTGTTCCATTATGGCACCTTATTCGTAGGAACGCTGCACACCTCAGCTATTGTACCGCAAGAAAAGAACATCTTTTTGCTAGATCGCACGCGCCTTTGCGATTTTTTTAATTAAGTATTATGCATTGGCATCTAAACAAGTATGTACACAAATCTTTCGCTGGTTTCGATTGCGGGCCCTTTGGCAAGGTGTTTCCAGCCATTGACACTATTTGTCCTCAGGCCCCCAACAAGGCAAACGTGCGGAACTGACGGCAGATAGGCATGAGGTCAATGAGTTCATATGTTGGCTCCAGATGCATGGTTGACCACGATGTGGTCTATTCCAGTCGAATCGTGGCCGAGCGAACAAGGCGCGATGTGCTGAACGTTTGGCTGACGTGCACGGGACGTTACCGAGCAATATTGACTGGTGCAATGAAACCAAGTTGTTGAAGGTATACTCACATTGGGACACGAAGTCCGACTTTACCGTTGCCCAGTACAGACCTAGCCAAGGAGCACGGGGTAAATTGGACGGAACAAAGAAGACGAACAGGTAGTGCAAAGTAATGAACCCGACTAGACGTCATACGACGGACAACGAAAAAGCAATATTGTGAAGTGGCTAAACTGGAATGGTGCTACAAATTTGGGCATGTACGAGATTTCCTTACAGTTATTGAATAGCTTATTGTTTTTACCCAGGCCACTTGAAAAGCTGTTCTGCAGCTAACTCCACGAATCCTACTCCAATCCATAAGTACGTTCATAAGGAACGTCTCGGAAGCTGGTCAGGAAAACACGATCAATGCAGTCCGCAGACGGTAGAACCTACCTTGCTGAAATCCTTGTCCATGTCCAAACACAGTGGATGCACCTCACGAATGTCGAAGTAAGTCAGCACATTCTCTTCCTCATCTCCGGGGACTTCCGGTAGGGCTGGAATTTGCGAAAGGCGTTCCTGCAACGTCTTCTTATATTTCAACTGGAACGCTTCTCTGGCTGTAGCTACTAGCACTTGATCGGTTGTCGAAAACACGTCCTCGGACTGTTCACCTTCTCTGACCTCTGGTTCATCGTCGACAATCTCTTCGGTGCTGTTGGTAGTGGGTACCGCAGTAATCTCTGCTCGCAGGCTCATCAACACACGCTCCTGTTCAGCTTCAGCCTCGTCCATGGCTTTGTAGGGGCGCGAGAGAAGGAGAAGTCCACGATAGTATTCATGGAACATGGAAAAACCCCATATGGTGTAAAACGATCTGGTCATATTAAATGAATTAATCGTGGTTGGTACCCGGGAACAAAATTCCTTGATCAGCAGAGTACGACCTAGGTACTGCTGAACTTAGTGATGCCCATGCATATGTTTATTTTTGCGCTAGCAAGCAGAATTTAACACACCTTGTGCGATAGCTGCCACAAGGAATAAGTTGTTAACAGTTGCAGACTTCGGCACATAGTGACATCTGGTTTCAAGGATAAGAACACGAAGGTATAATTTGAAGCATGTGTTAGCTTTGTGTCAGTAAAGGAGACTTTAGTGACTATATCACCAACGAAATATGTAAATCTCAGCGGGTGTGACCGAACGGCTTTCTTATAGTTGTGCCTAGAGCGCCATAATACAACCTACCGGATAAAGAGTGTATTGGTGAGTCGTATAGAAAGGGAGAACCAAAGTGTGGTGAAGAAAACCGCAGCACCGAACAACAACAGTTGAATGCGTGTTCCACCATATAGGCTCTCGAAGTGCAAAAAGGTGAGTGTGTTGTGAACAAATGCCAAAGGAATAATGTTTTTGCACTAACACAAAACACTGGTCGAACTGAAGGAGAGTGTTGTTCCGTGACAATCGCATATTTGTGGTAATTTGTTCACTTACCCTCATGTACAACCCAGTTCGTTCCACTTTCTTGTGTGCAGTTGACTTTGGACTGGGTGTTGTTCCGTCTTCTATCACAGTAATAAGTTTCAGTCACATTCAATAACGCCGCCTCACTTGGAATATTTTTCAACACCGATTTTTCTTCCGGTTACAATAAGCTTGACCTCAACAGAATGCTCTAAACAAGGATGGAGCCGACTGCAGACCTTGATGTCTGATAACTAATGAAACTTCTCGTACTCATGGTCAACTTCAAAGCTAAAAAACCCAATGTTTGAGTAAATGCTGATGGTGAGGGCCGCAGAATCGCACCAGTAAATCTGGGCTCCCATATTCTGCAACGGGCGCTGTGTTGGCTTAGTGGGATGTCAGGCCGGAGTTCAAAAATTCCTCTGCTCGGATATCAATCTGGATTGGAGAGTCCTTCTGGAGTTCACCTTGTGTGATTAGATTTTGAGCACAAGCTCTACATAGACTTTGATTCGCATTATAGTGAACCCGCTGAGAACAGATAAGGTCGAAGCGCATAATGGAGTGCAGTGTTTTCCGGTGGACAACACCCCATTTCTTTATGACCCATTGGTCACTTTCCTAGTGCTCGAACTGACCAAGGTTCCCTTCCCTGTGAATCAAGATCTAAGTTGCGATTGTGTGTCGCAACCCACTGGCGCAACGTATGATTCAAAATGACTGTCCAATCAGTCATCAACCGTTGTGCCAAGCTTTCCATGTCGTGGCTGAATGAGTTGAGGTCGCAGCCAACATTCCAATGGTCCCGGAATCGAGACCTGTCTACCTGAGGCAAGCAAATACGGTAGACACCTTATGCACCATTGTTGGCTGTTATCCCGAGCGAAAGGACCCAGCGCGACATGGCTGGATAACGGGATAAATAAGTGCCGCGCTCGCGAGCTTACCAAGACTGTTCGGGCCAGGCAGAGGGCGCAGAATTAGTGCTCTCTAGCATGAATCCAGCTCAGCATGGTCCCAGACAGAGTAAGATGTATTGGACCGAACGTAAAGCAGACCAATTAGCCTGTGTAGAGGTCGTACGATGGATAACGAGAAATAAGTATTGAGCTATGACTAAACTGGAATGATGCTGCAATAGTACGCATATAGGAAAAATCCCAACAGTTTATGAATATCGCTTCTTCTTTTTACCGAAACCTTGATTTGACTCCCGCTAAGCTACTAAACAGAGAGATCAACGAATCCTGCTCCACTGTTGTAAGTACGTATGGCTACTTATTTCTCTTTTAATAAATAACAACTGAAGGGAACGTCCATAGGGTCACCCATATCAAAGCTCATTGTGGAGGCTGTAATGCAAACATCGGAGCTCATTACCATGTCAATGATAAGCCTAAAGCTTTGGATGCGATAAGCTGGCCATACATTTGTCGTAATAAAACGAAATTCAATACAGTGTACATATAATTTGATCAACGACACCTTTGAGGGTATCAAGTTCATCATTAAACTGGAAGAACGCAACAAATTGTCATCTCTGGGTGTTTTGGTTCACAGGGGCACTACTGAAACACTTCAAACTTGTGTATATCGGAAGACACATTACCGATCAAGTAATGAATTATCACAGCAACCACCTGATGAATCACAGCAAGAGCTATATCCAAACTCTGTTCGAGAAAGCGAAACACACAGCACAATGGAATTGAGAAAGAAGTAGAAGAACTATATTTACCGCTGGTTACAAAATAACGGATATCGACCAAACTCTATTAGAAGAAGCTGGAAGTGGAGCTCATTAACAGCGGCCAGAATGGGCAAATAAACGGGCAGTGCTTTCCGACATCAAGAACGTTCCTGAATTAGCAGTACGATTATGAACATTGAACAATGATTTATCACATATAAAAACGCATGTGCTTGATAAATCCCGTAGGATGGTTGAAGTAAAAATTGAAGTTACTAGGATCAACGAATAAGAAAATCGTTATTTTAAGCCACTACCGATGCCGATGAACTGCTACATACTGATCGTTTGAAATGGGAACTGAATGTGCGCATCCAAAGAAATATAGGGAGCAATCATAACTCACGCACTTCGTAAAAAATAAAGGGCGGAATCACAACGAGCACTTGTGTGTTGCTTCATTTGACCGATGTGATACGGTAATCCAGTAAGGTCTCATCTAAGTTATTCCCATGAACACTGATGCATGCTTCCTAACCACCAAATTGCGGAGCGAGCGGTTAATTAGATGAGTTGGCTTGCGTTTGTTCGTTACCCGAGTGAAACGGACTATAGCAAGTAATGCAAGTGGGAATCTGTGTCACCAAAGCATTGTTTTGAAAGCGTCAATTTAGGGACCAAGGCCACGTGACATGGAAGGCCGTTTCATGTTTGGGACACCCCGAGATAGAAAATGTTCTGTCGTCAATCAAGTCGACATTAGTGCGCAGCCAGTTTGAGCTGTTAACCCCCAAATTTGGTATTTCGGTTCAGCTACAAGAGCTTGCGATAAGGGCGAATTGGTTTCGTCAGTATTCAGTAAACCATGATGACGCCTCCTGGCTGACGTCGATATTCACCACTGTGCAATCTCAGGGACTGCAGTCTGCGCTGCTAGGAGAGATGGAACAGTCCTCTAAGAAGTATGGGGAGTTTCAGGTGCATTAACGTCGCACTTGCGCCAGGGACGCCAGACCTGGATCGCATATTCCACGTGGGGTCTCAAGCAAGCATTCAACATTTGCGGAAGGATTGATGGTTCGACATTTCCCAAAACATTCTTTAAGAGTCCAAGATGTTGACTGGCTGTTTCCAATGCCTTTTCTGTCTGTCTCGAGCACTCAAGATCATAATGCTCCAAAACCACGAGGTCGCATTCCTTGAACACACGCTGTAACTGCTGGTCTCCAAGTCATGGGTAAGCTGATGGCATATTCTCATGCTTTTGCACTTCGCCACCTTGAACTGCAGCACGTTATCAGATGACCACGCATAAGCCCTGTGGAGACCGCTCTGTAGTGCAATGTGATCTTCCGCTGACCTGATGTCATGTCGAATTTTGACATCATCTGCAAATAGTAAAAAATTCGACTGCAGAACACTGGCAAGATCGTTAATAAATGCTAGGAATAAACGTGGTTCCAATACCGATCCTTGGCGCACGCCACACTGGACGTCAATTGGGTCGGAAATGTAACTACCGACTCTCAAATTCAGCTGAAGTTGGGTGAGGAAGTTGCTTGATGAACCCAGCAACGGGTCAATAATTCCATAGTTTCGGAGCTTGTGCAGGAGAATGCGATGGTCCATGCGATCGAATGCTTTTGAAAAGTCCAGGTAGACGATGTCGACTCACAATCTGGCATCGAGTGATGCTGTCCAGCTCTCTCGGGCTAGAAGCAAGTTTGTAGTGCAAGACCGATTTCGACGGAAACCGTTCTGCTGTAACACTAGGATGTTGTTACTCTCAAGGTATCCCAGAAGTGCCTCTGCAAGTATACCTCTCATTACTTTGTCTAACACTGGGAGGAGAGTGATTGGGCGGTAGTTCGAGGGCTCCGAACGATTACCACCTTTGTAAACAGGAGTAGCTAGTCCATGTTTCCACATTGTGGGAACCTGCATTTTATCCAGACATCGCTGAAAGAGCCGAGTTGATCATTCGGCAATGTTCCTGGCGGCTGTCCACTATGTCTTCTGTCAGAGGTCGTCCACGCCAGGTGAGCTGTGCACGCGCAATGACATTAGCCTTTTCACCACATTGGGTGCCGTGGAGGATACGCGGTTTAAAGTTGGTAGCACTAGAAGCTGTACTGAAAGCGGGTAAGATGATGATTCATTCTGGAAAGTACGGGTAAAGTACTGGCGAAGTGCGTTGGCTCTAGGTTGTACCAAATGGAATCTAACATTGGAAGATTCCTGCATTCATCTCTGGTACCTCGTTGTAAACTAGCGTGCTACGTCCTTACACCAAAGCAGTGGCTACGTGGAGCCCCACAAGATATTCGCTGGTAAAAGGAGACAGTAGTTTCACTAAACTTCGGTCTTCACCCTCCAGTGTCTTTGGGTTAGTGCTGACAGTCGTGTAACCCTCCGAGAGTCAAAGAAAAATTTGCGAATCGATCAAATTCTGCTAGTAATGAACTGGGGCATCATTTACACCGTGCTATCTCACTACAGAAGTCTTTTAGTGTCCATTTCCCATAGCTGCCTCTCATATCGTCTGCTTATGTGCATTGGTCCGCACACACTGTGCTTCCGCTGTGATCGGTACAATCGGGGTCTGCCCTGTCTGGAGGCCCGTTGTGCATGATA